TAATTGGGGGCGGGTTTCCTAACCCTAAGCAGCTTTAGGAGGTGTGACCTCAACCTCCAAGATTCCCCCAGCCAGCATGGCTGGCTGGGGAATTCTGGGAGTTGAAGTCCACACATCTTAAAGCTGCTAAGGTTGAGAAACACTGTTTTGGAGTATTCCAGGGCCAAAACACCACCTTTTCCCTTGGCAGAATTCAGTGTTCTCTCCTCAGCACTATTAATGGACAGATAGACTTGCTCAAGTATCTCTGAAAAAGGTGGACTCAACATGCATGCTTTTATGCTGTCCCTTCTAGAGAGATGCCCATGAGTTTTGCTTACATCTCTGCTACCAGGCTGGCCAGGAAGGGAGCAGGAAAGTGTGTTCTTCATTATAAATTTAAGAACGGGTGGATGGATGAATGAATGATCAGGCTTTAATCTGAACATTTCCAGCACCGCGGCTCTGTTTGGCACCATCCCTTGCTCCAGACAACCACCGCTGGCCAAAACTGCTTCAGGTGTTTGGGTAGGGAATTCCACATTAAGGATTTGCCAGGTCAGCCTCAACAAGCATCGACTGTGTTTGAAAAAGCCTTCTGCATTTTTGCAGGTATCCCCTTTGGCTGGGTTGGGAGAGTATAACACTAGTCTGATGTTTCTGTAGTTGTATAAGCACATACACATCCTATTTTTGGAGCATCTGATAACTGAGCAGATGGTCAGCATCCTACCCCCGTTCTTCCCTTTCCCCAGTTGCTCCTCACTGCAGAGAAAAATCCAACTGGCTGCTGTTGGAGGGGAACAGATGACCTCCTTTGGGTGCAAGCTGGCAGGGCATCATGGCATCTTGGCAATGGGAGGGAGGGGGCTGTTCCTGGAGCTAGGAGTTCCTCCCCGGGCCCACCCTGCGAATCCAGAGAATGCGTTGCAGAACGAGCGTGAATCTCTTCTGGAGCAGAATCTCTTCTTGCTCCACAGTCAAACGGAGGCACGGAGGCTTTGGGGATCAAGCACCCCTCTCAGGCTGGGGGACTCTGCTGCAGATATGCACCTTCAGAAGATGGTGGTTGGAAGTGGTCCAGTACAGCTTGCAATATCACCATCCCAGGTGGTTGTAAAGGGCTGTGCTCAAGAAGAATTCGTGCTCCCCGGCCACTCCATTTTGTGTATCTTTCCCAAGGTCCATCTGAGAATAGACCTACATGCCCAGCCAATGCCTACCTCCTCTGAGTCATCCGTCATCAAAAAAGCAGGCAGCTTGAAGACAATCACGGAGTCTGTTTTACGAAACCACATTACTTCTGGGTCCCCGGCATGCAGGCACCTGCCAAGTCCAAGGAGCAATGTCAACACTCTTTAGAGCACTGTTTCTCAACCTTGGCAACATGAAGATGAGTGGACTTCAACTGCCAGAATTCCCCAGCCAGCCATGCTGGGGATTGAAGTCCATACCTCTTAAAGTGTCTGACGTTGAGAAACACTGCACTAGACCATTATGTGATTCCTCTCATATGCTTTTCCCAGCAGCTCATTTCTATTTTAGAAAAAGGGGAGCTTCAGGGCACTTCACCAAGAGCTACCTTGTTGGGGAATATTTAGAGGGAAAGTTCTCCCCGAGCCTGGCCCCATCATGCACAGTACAGCCCACCTGCCCTCACCCGTGGTTGTTCACAATTATGTAGATCTTCCTGGTATGGCTGTGGTGTGGGGCATTTGCTCCATAGCACTCCTCAATAAAAAGTTTAGGGAACATGCTTGGGCTAGCCTGGATTCTCGCTTCAATGTGAATCACAGAACCTTCAATGTAGACCTCTGGAACAGCTTCAACACTGAAGTCCTCTGCAGGGCGAGACAAAAAAAACACACACCTTAAACTCCACAAACAATCAATCAGTATCCAGGCCACAAGCTTAAAATTCCCCATTCCCAGAATCTTGGATAGAGCAGTTATGAGAGGTGAACACAAATGGGCTTTTTCACATTTTCCAAAGTGATGGGCAGAAAAATGAGGGGGGTAGTTCCTCTGAATTTCTCCAGAGGAAGGAGAAATTCTCCAACTGTGTCTCAAGGGCAGGGGAAGAGAGTAAGGATGACGACCATGACAGGGATAGGCCAGATCCGTTACCAAAGCAACAATGGGAAAAACATGGCTTAAGTCCCAAACAAGAAGGGATACACCACCGACTCAGTCAGACACCTCCCTAAGTCACATGAGTATAAGGGGATGGGGGAAAGTAAAGCAGAGTCAGACTTGGAAGATTGATGTCAGTTCTACTAATGTAGTCCAAACCAAGAAATCAACTTCGCAAGAAGGCTAAAACAACTTTTATTAACATTGGCTCTTGTAACAGAAATTTGCAAGTCTGCTTTACTCCCCCCACCCTCTCCTTTATACTCATGTGAATGAGGGAGGGGTCTGCCTGAGTCGCTTGTGCATACCTTCCTGTTGTTTTGGACTTAAGCCATGTTTTTCCCCTTGCTGCTTTGGTAATGGATGTGGCCTATCCCTGTCAAGGTCAACTTCTTTACCCTCTACACAGAGGTCCCCCTTAGCAGTGACCAGGCAGCAGCAGAAAAAGAGCCTCCAGGAAAGATGTTTCTTCCCAGTGTTGTTCCTTGGGATTGAACAGAAGGGTGGGCAATTAGAGAGGCTGCAGATGGCTGGAGAGAGGAATGTCACGAGAAGGGCAGGATATTCACATCTATCCTTTGACTGCCTTATCCTTAAATAAGTCCAAAACACCCATTCCACATGTGACAGTTTTCTCCAAGTTCTCTTCTCTGAAAGAAATGTTCAACAGGGTTACTCCCCAACGTACATAACTATTTTGCTCCACAAAGCCTTCCCTAACCTAAATTTTGTGCAAATCAGCCAGGCATTCATCCATGCACCGTACCACCTTCCATTGGGTGCATAATGCAAATGTGTGCCCACCTGGAAAATTTGGGACGTGACTTATGGAAAGGTGTCTATGAAGTTGTAAGTCAGATTTTATGCAATTTGGGGGTCCTGTCTACAATTCAGCCCTATCAAATGGAATGAGAAGTTGCAGGGAAAAATGCCTTTGTGCAGCACTGATAATCCTATATAATCCAAGGTCTCTGGCCTTACCGCTCAGGACCCTTAGGGAGAAATTCAAATTGGCCACTGCGTTGACTTCAATAGCTTGCAAGATGTGGCTTTCTGTTAGTTTCCTGGCCACTGCGGGGCTTGGCGGAGTTGGCAACCTGTTCACTGCAGTTTTTGTGGTGTTGGCAGAGCCGTGCCACATCAGTCCTCTTGCAGCTAGAAGCAAGAGAGAGAAGGTTGACTGGCCAGATGTCCATGACGGTTTTCCTAGCCGTGGGAGCAAAGGCTAGCAGCAGCAGGCCCACAGAGATGGGAGACTACATCCCTAGGGCCCCTCTCCCGGTTGCTACGCTATCCAAGGTTGCAACCCAACCACAGATACAGGATCACAAAAATCTAAAACAAAGTCTAACTTTCCCCAAGATGAGGATAGCATAACATCTTATTATCCCCAACTGCTGCAAGGCAGATACTCCAACACCCCATTAACTGAACGTACCTGACAAGGTGGGGACTAGGAGACTGGATACCTTTCTCACGTATTATTATCAGCTGTAAATTCTAGAGAGATATTAGGTCTGCTTACATCTGCCCCTAATGTGTAAATTTCCAGGAAGGCCAGACAATTTCTATATGAACCCTTTTCTAGAAGATTTGAAACCCTTCATCACTTGTGCAGTAGCCAAATTCTGTGCTGCTGCGATTAAAACAAGGCGTAACAGTCACAGGAATAACCCCCTCTGTTTTGTTCATCCCTTCAGGTTTATTATGGGTTAGCTATCTTGTTTTAGGTGACCTGTATTTTTACTTCATAGGTTGCAATACTTTAGATTTATACTTGCAAAGGTAATTAATATACCATTATAGTAGCATATGTTATACTGTTATTATACAGACTCCTTGTTATGCTAGCATTTTGTCTCACCCATCTTTTTACTTTTGGGTTGTATATTTTTAAATTTTGCTGGTCATTGACCAATAATTATTACTACTACTACAAAGGATCACAAGCATGGCTGGCTGGGGAATTCTGGGAGTTGAAGTCTACTCTTCTTAAAGTTGCCAAGGTTGAGAAACACTGGACTCAGTGGTCTCCCATCCCTTCCCTGCTGGTCCTTCACTGCCTTGAGATGCATCTCAGGTTATCAGCCAGTGTTGACCGCTGCACACATGACTAGCATCCCTCATGCCAGTAAAACAGGCTCCTTACCATGATATATTTTTTTGAAGAAGCCCATTTGCTCGGTTGTCTCAGGAAGAGAGCTGGGAACTGCAGCTGGGGAGAAAAAGCCATCCTTTCCTTGGGTCAAAACCTGGGTTGCTGAAGGATAAAGGGACAAAGTGGCCGATCAGGAATCTGTGCTTAACTCTTGGAGCTGCATCCTTGAGTCCTGCTTCTCACATAACCCTCAGCTGAACCTGAATTTAAGCTTGTTTGTTTAGCGTCCACAGGCAAACCCAACCACCGTGGTTTATAAAGGAGGATTTCTTTCTTGAGGTGGGTTTTCACATCAAACTAAGCCAAAGGCAACCAGCTCGCACACACTACAGCATTGTATGTGCAAACCGGGATGAGTGGCAAGCTTAACAAGCTGAATGGAAGGAAGCTCAAAGAAGCCAATTCCTTAATTTTAAAAGTCAGAAAATAAGGAAGTTGTCTAAACAAAGATGCTACAGATAAACCACCAAAGAGCCACTTGGGGGAGGAATCGATTTGGACAAAGGCAGGATGTCTTTCTATCACCATACCAGCGCAGGAGGCAAACTGGGTGTTAAAAAGTTGCATTTCGTTGCAAACCCAGCAACTGCATTCACACAACGATTGTTAGAGCTGGGTTGGGTTAATTGGAGCTTCTGGCACAAGGATCATAGAATCATGCTCAAAGGGTTCAAAGATCCCAAGAGTTCAAGGGCACAAGGATCATAGAATCATGCTCAAAGGGTTCAAAGATCCCAAGAGTTCAAGGGCACAAGGATCATAGAAGCATGATCAAAGCATTCAAGGATCATAGAATCATGATCAAAGGGTTCAAAGGGTTCAAAGGGACCCAAGAGGTCACCAAGTCCAACTTCCTGCACACTGCAGTATTCCCTACACCAGTGTTTCTCAACCTGGGTCATTCAAAGATGTGTGGACTTCAACTCCCAGAATTCCCCAGCCAGCTGAAGTCCACACATCTTT